CATAATTTTTTTCAGAGATATGTCTGTTTCAAAAGGAAGCGGCACCTGAGTCCCCCGGAAGAGCTACATAGAACCAGATACTACTACAGCTATGCCAGCTTTCTATCTCAGTGTACCTACTGGTGGATGAACCGTTTGTTATCTAAAGGTTATAAAAAACCTCTAGAGTTAAAAGACCTTGGAAAATTGCCAGAGGTAAGGCATAACTCCCTCCCTCTCTCTCTCTCTCTCTCTCTCTCTCTCTCTCTCTCTCTCTCTCACACACACACACACACACACACACACACACACTATTACTGCGAGTTTCATTTTACTGACTTACAAATTACAAATTTTAAAGCTGATACATTTGTGTTTTAACTTGCTTTTGCTATGCAATCCCAAAGTAGAAGTTTTACTATTCATTCTGAATGTAGAACACATCATTTTCTATTCATTATCAAATAGCTGTTGATAAATATTCACATAAATGTCATCATGATTTTGGATCACTTCAGGCTGAGTGGACAGTGACCAATTATAAGAAACTAAAGAGTGTGTTCCAGGCAGAAAAGGTTGGTCAGTGAATAAGAAGGATAGGTTCTTGGATTACTTAAATGATATGAGAGTATTAAAACTGGTACTGATGCCTGCTACTTAGAAAAGAGACACCCTTTTGACATGATCAAATTTTGCAAATTTTAGGCAAGGAAACTAACTGAAATGCAGAAGCAATCATCTAAACGGCAGTGGGGAAAGGTACCAACTACCCACTCCATTTTATGTAATAGATAGACAGACAGACAAACAGACAGACCTTCCCTAGTTCCCACCATAAAAGAGGTTATCAGGATTTTACATCAGAGTAATCAAGGCCATGGCTAATGGCCAAAAGCTGTTGTTATAACCTTTCACTTTTTTTTTAGATATATATCAGTATTAATACTCTCAAGTATGACATAACTGCGTAATGGGTTACTTTTCATGGATGATTTAAGAACATGTTTTTAAGTGGCTGAAAATGATGGTTTGGAGGATGAGTAAAAAATGATACTCATAATAATAATAATAAAATTATTATTATTATTATTATTTGCACTGTGTACTTGAAATGTGCAGCCAAATAACAAGAAAGAACCACACAACAAAATTCTTATTGCTGAAATTGCTCATTACCACAACTGGTCTTTATATATGGGGTATTATGGAACAGTGCTGTTGATCCACTTTTTATGACAAATAAATTTTGGACCCAGATTATACAAAAATCTGTCACTCACACATTTACATGCGCGTGTGCACACACATTCTGTAAGCAAGTAATGTTATTATTATCCCTACACTTTTGTGACAAAAGGTAAAAGCTCATAGACATTACCTTGTACTAGTATTTTCATTTGCAATGCAAACATTATGGAATATTGAAAAATAGTTAAATATAATTATCTGTAAATGTTTGTAGTGAACCTTAATTACCCAAGCAAATTATCTGGACATATAAAAAGTGTCATAGTTTTAACACATTTGTCAGTCTATTTCATGTTCTCTATCTGACCCCACTTCGTGTTATCAGTCAATCTTGAAGTAATAGTGATAATCATATTGATTATATTTAATATTGACTTAGTGATGTTGTGAATAAAAAAAGATTGACTTCATGCTTTCATCTGTCGTGTTCACAACAGAATAGACTTGAACATGTAATAGACTAATTTGAGACTAATGGAAGTTGGCAATGTACAAAGTTACTACATGAACCCTGCCACTCTTTTTAACCTTACAGTCTTTTGTTATGCGTTGTGATCATGCTGGGATATTAATTTGCTTAAATAAGATCTAAGATAATTCTGATGTGACCGCAACCTGATAAGTGCAAAGTGAATGCTTTTATATGTCTTCCTCTTCTTTCTGCAGATTAAGTCTGAGTCAGAACAAGACAAGTTCTCCTTAATCCACTGCTATGGGCGAGTCACATGGCCTATGCTTTGTCTGTCTGGCTTCTACAGGCTGGCGGGCGACCTGCTCCAATTTGCAGCTCCTTTGTGCATAAGTGGCATCGTGACTTATGTTACTGTGGAGAATGGTAGAGCCAGTGAAATGAAAAATCCAGCCATTCGAAATAATAGCACAGCATCAAGCACTTTAGATTTAGAACGTCCACAGGTACTTCATTGTTATGTTGCAAACAAGGGTAATAACTGGTAGATGTAAGGCAGAGTTACGTGTCTGTTATCACTGCCTAATAGCTAAACCAAATTGAATTGTATGTTGACATCAGAAATGTGATGTAAAATGACCTAATTAGATGGGAGCAAGATTTACATATGAGAAAAAATAGTGTAATCAGCGAATCAAATTTTAAAACAGAATTCATGTTTTTGTCATAGTTATGGTAAGCAAAAGGATTGGATATGCTCTGATGCAGTCTGTTGTTTAGTGTAGACTGTCAACTATTTAATAATTGCTCATGGTGTTTCAAAGACTTCTTTAAAGGGATAATAACTCTTCGTTTTGGCCAAAAAATGAATTTTCCTGGAGTAAACAACAATTTTCCCATACTTACCAATGGTGAATGAATCCATTTTTACATTCAAAATTAGTCCTTGGTTTTTTTCTAAAAAGTTTGGTTTTTTGTTAAAATCTCTAAAGATATTATAACAGAGTATAGCCATCAATGGAGGTCACGTGGTCTGAAGACAAGCTCAGATATCAGAATAATAGCTATAACTGCTGTTTTTGTGGTAAAACAATATATTATATTTCTGTGAGTTATTCACAATGTTTTTATTGTGAAATATAGACCTCATACGAAGAGTTATTATCCCTTTAATTTCTTATTTTTGTCAGAGAATCATTTCTTGGAATTAATATAACAGTGGGACATATGAGAAAGGTCAAGCTTGCATGTCACCCACGCTGCATGCTAATTATATATTGTCACTGTAGAAATTAAATGGTTTTCTATCAGCCAGACTTGATGAAATTTTTTAGTCTTTTCACATCTTACTTAGAAATGTCATGTCATATTTTGAAGAAAAGAATATATATATATTTTTAGCACAACCTGTATGTTTCACCAGCTGAATTTGTCACAAATGGTTATGTGCTGGCTATGCTGTTGTTCCTGGCGTCATTGGTCATGAGCACCTTCTTGCAGAACTCTCATTTTCTGCTTATTCGAGAAGGTGCTAGAATCAAAGTAGCTCTGCAGGTTAGTAGGTCAAAATCAATACTTGTTGAATGTAGACCACCGTAATTTGGAGTGTTGCTAACATGCATGGTTGAAATACTTTGTTTTTCCTGGAAAAGGTGAACCATATTATTAAAGGTGCTAATTTTATTAGTTTCATTCAATAAAGATATGTAATGTAAAATAGATTTGGCTCAAAATTATTTCGTGCTGAAGTGTCAAAAGGCTTTTTTGGTCATGAACTTTGTGTTGATGAAGTGGACCTTGTTTAGAAAGCTCACGGTGGAATTAGTATTGAAAATCTTATCAAAATGCAATTTTTTTATATTTTGGGCAAATAAATTAAATTTTTATGGGCACTGTAAAATGCCAATCAATGAACAGTGCTAATCCAAAAGAAAAAAAAAGAAACAATTTGCAATCAAGTTTATTTCTCAATGTTATTAGAATACAACCATTCCTTCTGTGAATAACAGTATGGCACAACATGATATGTGTCTTATAAAGAATTGATTATTACCAAATTGTACCAGCACTTTTTATCTTCCATTGTGCTGTGTGTCCTTTTATGTGAAATGTGCCACCATAGAATTATGATGTATAAGTGTATTTTTATATCCTTGAAACAACAGTTAGTAAGAGCTGTAATACATACGGTGCACTCACTGTCTTCTTATAGATAAAAAGTGGAAGACTTTCACAGGAATAAGTTCCTATTGTTTTTGTTTCCTTTCACAGGCAATGATTTATGAAAAGACCTTACAGCTGTCGAGCTGTCCAATAAATAGTGGGCAGATAACGAGCGGACAGATCTCAAACTACATGTCCAATGATGTCAGCATCATCTGTATGGCTTTCTCATTGTTTCACCACGTATGGGCAATGCCATTATTGGTAAGATAGACATAGAATGGCGGAATCATATTATGTTTTGTATAATAATTGGAACAAATTAGACCCTGCACAAGTAATTGTCTTTTGAATTTATATGGATGTAACTAATGCCAGGTGTATCGTTGTAACTGTCAAGGTATGTTAATTTTACTTAAAGTGAGATTTTTTAGATAAAAGATGTCAGTGGATACATAGTTTTAAAACATTCAAATTTTCAATTCTGTAATTGATATAGATTAAGTAAGAGTGCTTTAAGACTTTTCCCAGAAAGGATACTTATTATATGTATCCATAGAAAATATTATTAAGGAATCTCTAGAGTAAAGTCCACAATTTTGACATTTCTAAGATTGCATTTTTTTTTCTAGGTAATCCTGTGCTTGATAATGCTGCACAGCCAAATGGGTTACAGTGCAGTGATTGGTGGTTGTGTGGTCTTCATACTGACCCCAATACAGTATAAGGTGGCATCATATGCTGCATTTATAAATCAAGATATCATGGCAAGTTTTATCATGTCCTCTCTTCTCATTGTGTGTATTTTCACTCTCATTCCAACTGAGTGTGAGATGGTCTCTTTTGCTTATGGATGCATTGTTTTATTCTCACCATGCACATGTTGTTGCTCTCTCAGCATTCATTAAGCAAAATAACAGTGCCAGTTTCCACTTTAATCATGCAGGGGGTAATGAATCTTTTCACCCCCCCCCCCCATCTCACCCATAGTTTTAATTGATCTCCTATGCTGAATTCCTAAATCAGGATATTAATTATTGTGAGCTTATGTCACTGATATATATTCACATGGGGGTATCTTTCCCATTAGACCAGACAGCCAGATTACATAGAGAGCTGAAATATAATTGGATTATAAGCAAAATCTCCTTGTTAACTGCAGTATGCTCTATGTAAAAGCTTCACTATTGTCAAAACGTGTTATTCACATCGGTGCCTTTTTTTTTGTTTTACCATAGCAGTTGTTTTAAAAGTAAGCTGAAAATTTCAGAGTGCTGAATATCTTCTTCTTTTCTTCTTTTAAAAATTTATTAAATTATTTATTTATTTATTTTTATTTTTTATTTTTTCCTAATTTGAATTCATTTTCCTTGGCAGTTTGGTCAACTTATGATAAAGATGGCTAATGCCTCTCAAAACCACTAGTTAGTATAGTTAGTATTGATTATTATTTATTCATAAAGATTGTGAGTTTCTTATTTTAAACTGTACCTATTTCAGCAATGTTCTGATACTCGTTTGAAGAGAATAAGTGAACTTTTTCAAGCCATCAAACTTCTCAAACTTTATGCCTGGGAAGTGGTATTCTCTCAGCAAGTTGAAGAAATCAGAAAAAAAGAAATCAAGTTCCTGCTCAAAGCTTGTTTTTTCAAAACTATTGCATGTAAGTTGCCATGATTTTATCAACAAATTTTCTGATCTATTTATTTATTTTTTTTTTGTGAAGAAAACAAAAAAGAAATAAAGTTTTCGTCCTGGATATATTCATTTAATCAAATCTGGCTTGGTGTCTTTTGTTTTGGCTCTCGAAAATACAATGTAAATTAAATTTCATAATAAGGTATGAAAAAAAAAAAAACAACAGATTAGAGATGCTGTGCGTCACATTTGACAATAGTTTTTTTTTCTTTTAGTTTTTATAACAAATGCAGGCCCTGTCATACTCATGCTTGTGGTAAGTAAATGTTTTTTGATCCTTTGATTATCTCTCCTTGCCCCCAGAATCTTTAAATGTCTCATTTTACCATTAGTCTGTTTTACAAAATGACAAAAGCTTTTGAACTCTCTTAAGTCTGCTAAACTCAGATAGCCAACCTTTGACACGCCTGAATAGGCTGGCTATTGTCAATGATGTGGATGAAATTGTTGAGAAAGAAATTCCGACCACAGACGTAGCTTTAAGATAAAAGAAGTAAGGCAAACTGACCTTAGATCCTTTGTAAAATTCTACTTCTTGGAATCTTAGCTGGGTCTGCCAAGACTGGTTCCCTTGAGTTGAAAAAAGACCCCAATTCTTGAGATACTACTTAGAGCACATTCAGAACAGCAAACTAAGACCCCATTCCCAGAGATTAGATTGATCCAACTAGATCGACCTAATTCCCTGGGGGTTCACGCTAAATAGCTGTCAGCCGAGCGGGCACAAAAGTGAATTACCCCCTTACAGCTTGAAGTAGGCGGGACGGACATTTAAGCCGGATTATCTGACAGTAATCTAGTGAGACTCCCCACGGGGATAGATCGATCTAAAATCTATGGGAATGCACCCTAACAGATCAGTGGATCAAATATGGCTGACCCACTGGAATACATAATCTCCGTGGGAAATCTATTAAGTGTTTAATCAGGAATTAAGTGGCAGGCTTTTTAGTGGTTCGCCATATTTCATCTGCAGATCTTTTGAGTCCGCTGTTGTGTATGTGCTTTTATTTAGAGAAAATATTCTCGGTTGTATGGAGATGGAGACTATAACTGGAACCAAGGCATATTTATATTGCTCTAGCTTTGAATTCGGTTAAACAACAAAATAAAAAAGAATTTGTACAATTTCATTTTGTTATTTTCATGCTTATTTTCCAAAGTGAAAGAGTGCTTTTTTTCTACCACCAAGACATACAAATATTCTTCCCTGGCTCTTGCTTGGTATAATAAAAAGTTTTTGATACACCATCTTTGTATGAAGTCTAATTTTTCCAACTGAGAGAGAAATGTAACTTTTGTTTCTGTCTATTTAGACCTTCCTCCTGTATCCATACATAGAAAGTGTTCCACTCACTGCAGCCAAGGCATTCTCTTCCCTGGCCTTGTTCAATATGATCAGCAGTCCTCTCTACATGTTCCCACTGGTCGTCAATATCTTGGTCAAGGCAAAGATCAGCTCGAAGAGAATACAGGAGTTCTTATTTGCTAAGGAAGTGGAGGCAGCATTTCTGCCAGCTTTTTCATCAAGTAGCGAGACCAATGGAGCTTTAATGGTGAGTCACTTAAAGTAAGCTGTGGTGTGTAGGCATGTGATAATGGGATCATTCCCATTGAAAGTATTGTTCACACTACGCTCAGTTATCCGGATAAATTGCGAATTGGGTCACAATTCGAATAAATGCAGTAGTGTGAACGCAAGAGGAATTTGTAATGCGCATTTTCAAAATCCTGCAAGCGAGGTGGATTTCTAAGCGCGATCCGGATAACTTACCGGAATCGACACCTGTACAGATCTAACTGCGCATGTGTGCAGATAAGTGCGGGTATCTATGAACGCTTGTTTACTACTTTAGCGATTGCACCAAACGTATTTGGAGGTCACCACTCACTACAACATGAGGAAACAAACTTATTTTGCCATCTTATACTTCTCAAGAATGCTGGAATGTCTTTAGAGTTGCATTTGTCGTCAAAAATTTTTGTTGGTATTTTAAGATTTCCTGTGTGGCGCATGCGCGAGTGTTCAAAACAGTAAGCTAAACCTGAAATTTTCAACGTGTAATTCGGTTTCGCTTAGCGTGTGTGAACGCAATACCGAATCGAATTCCTCACGAAAAATTCGGATTATAGAAATGCGCATTTTTG